AGAATGTCTAAAGTGGACCAACAAAATAAAGTTTAACCTTTTAAATATATTATGTAATTCGATAAAATTACATAATTTTTTTATCAACACTTGAATGAGGGTAAGTTTCATAAAAAAGCAATTTTTTGAGCAAAAAGCTGAGAAAATCGCGTTTTGTTAAAGACTGTGTCTGGATCGGATTCAGAGCGATGATCAAAACACAGATGGAGTAGATCGAGTCCATCAACACCCCTAAAGCTTCACAGTCCTGTACCTCGTCCTGGTTCTACATTTCATTCGGTAACATTAGGCAGTTTTGATTTATATGCCATTTAATGTTGATGATCACATTATTTTACATATGCATCTGCTTATATCGCTTGTTTCTGCTTCTTCTTCACATGCCTTTTGATCTGGAGATTCTGCATACTTTCAGAAGATGCCTAATATCGTCCCCCAGTGAAAACTGTCAATAGCGGGGAAAGAGTTAATAACAATACTGTATTACAGTAATTAGAATCACCATCGAGAATAATGGGAGTTACAAAAAAATTTGCTTGGGGGGTAATACAGCTGATCAAAGATCGGCATTGGAATTATTTGATGGACTGTTTCAATGTTATTCTATTAATGTTTTGTCATGTACTTCAACTAAACCCCAACCCTAGACAAAACCTAAAAACCAAAACAAATTGTTATTGGTTCCTTTTATGTTGGTCATTTTTATGAGAGGGTGACACTGCAAACTGGACCAGATTCATGCAGATGTTCACACATCTGACTATGTGAAACTGCTGCGTCTGACATCGAATACTTCCTTATATAGTATAGTATGCAAAAAACAGTATGCCAAAAGAGTAGTATGTCCGAATACATGCTGAATTCGGAACCGCATACTAGTATACTACTCGTACTACTTTTACTATATCTTTCTATCAGTAATCGAAAAACAGTAGGGAAAGAGTCCCCGGATGATCTATAACTTCTGGCAAGTTTCTGAAGTCAAGGACAAGCATTAAGCTGGTTCAGGTCATACTTGTCTGACCGCTACCATTTCGTCTACTTAAATGGAGAAAAATCTGTGTTAGGCCCTTTATTATTCTCAATATATATGCTGCCACTTGGTAATATTCTAAGGAAACATGCAATTAGTTTCCATTGTTATGCCGATGACACTCAAATATTATTTCATCACGGCCAGATGAATACGCTAAATTATCCAAATTGACAGATTGTGTTAAAGATATAAAAGATTGAATGAGGCGTAATTTTCTTTTATTAAATCCAGACAAGACAGAGGTAATACTTATCGGTTCTAAAAACCGTCCACAAAACCTTTCACAGCACGACTTTAACATATTAGGATGCCCTGTTACTTTATCCGCTACAGTAAAAGACCTGGGTGTTACATTACACTGCAACCTGTCTTTTGAAAAGCATATTTCATATGTTACAAAAACAGCCTTTTTCCACCTTAGAAACATTGCTAAGCTACGTAATATGCTATCAGTCTCTGATGCAGAAAAGTTAGTTCATGCATTCATGACCTCGAGACTAGATTACTGTAATGCTTTATTAGCTGGTTGTCCTACATCTTCAATAAACAAGCTACAGTTAGTCCAAAATGCAGCCGCTAGAGTTCTTACTAGATCAACAAAATATGATCATATAACACCGATTCTATCATCACTTCATTGGTTACCTATAAAGTTCCGTATTAATTACAAGGTCTTGCTTTTGACTTATAAAGCTCGGAATGGTTTAGCTCCAGTCTATTTAACGGATCTTCTATCGCCCTATAATTCATCGCGCTCTTTAAGATCACTAAATCCGAGGCTTCTGGTCATTCCTAGGATATCCAGATCCACCAAAGGAGGGAGAGCATTTTCACATTTAGCTCCGAAGCTCTGGAATAGCCTTCCTGATATTGTTCGTTGCTCAGACTCGTTCTTCCAGTTTAAAACTAGACTAAAAACGCATCTATTTAGCCAGACATTCATATACATTTTTTATCTTACAGTTAGTGAAAACTCGGCCTCTACTTCATAAACGCCAGAGGAGAACTGGCCCCGACTGAGCCTGGGTTCTCCCAAGGTTTTTTTTTTCTCCATTGGGTCATCTGATGGAGTTTTAGGACACCATCGGGTCACTTGATGGAGTTTTTTCGGTTCCTTGCCACTGTTGCCTTTGGCTTGCTCAGTTGGGGATATTTAAACTAAATGACCCATCATACCACTGATCAGCTCTACCAAACTTGGATGTCTTTTCCAGTAATAAACAAACACTGTTAAGTTGTTTTGATTGATACTGTGAAGCAGCTTTGATACAATCTGTATTGTGAAAAGCGCTATATAAATATATTTGACTTGACTTGACTTGACTTGACTTGAAGTGTGCATTCGATAGACACTTTACTATCCCATTAGGCCACGGGAGAGGATTTATGAATGGCAGTGAAGCGACACACTTCATACTACCCACATTCATACTATATAGACCATACTTTTTTTAATGGTCGCAAAGTAAATTCAAATGTAGTAGCTACTCAGTCAGTATGTGATTTTGGACGCAGCGTATGTGTTTGTTTGTATGGGGACGTTTGTTTCTATAGCGATTTGCAGCAAAGAAAGTGGCTTGCCTGCACATCTTCCATATATGACATCAAGTACCGAGGGCTAAGTATCACTATAGATCTGTCTCATTCTCTTTCTATCTCTCTATTTTATGAGAACAAATCCAGAATAGTTGTTCGGCTTAACAAAGCTGTGCAAGACCAGCCAGTAGTTAATATATCAGATGGAAACAGCAACTGTTTCCCCATTGCATACATTTATCAGCTGAATTTCATAACTTTATAACAGTGTGATTTATTTTTCTTTAACACCATCCATGCTGTACCCATTATTCCTCTCTTAGGATGTGTTTCATGCAGGGGAATTGATTTATGAGTCCACTACTCTGTTCTGGACTGAGTTACGCGCAGCAGTTCACCCCGCGAACCACAAAATGCTGTTGCTTTATAGCAACAGGTGTTGATGGATCACATAAAAGAGAGATAGCAACAGACTGAAAGGTGTGTGTGAGCGTAAAGGAGAGAGAGAGAGAGAGAGAGAGAGAGAGAGAGAGAGAGAGAGAGAGAGAGAGAGAGAGAGAGAGAGAGAGAGAGAGAGAGAGAGAGAGAGAGAGAGAGAGGAAGAAAAGCTCCCATATGTTCTGCATTAGCCACCGTTCTTCACAGGTCAGACTTTTGCTCTTTGTAAATGTTTGTGCAGGTTCATGTCACAATAACTTGCAGAGTAGAAACAGCAGTTTCTTAAACGTGTGCAATTGCTCTCCACCCTTTAACTAAAGAGTGATGTTCGCTCCATCCTCCAGGTCTCGCTTATGTAAGGCTCGTACCCCCACGCCAGCTTTGGCTTCCGCTCTTAATGAGATCCAATTGGAGAAGGGCTGCTCTCGTGGCTATGATGGCTGTCACATGTGGAAGTGATTGGCGAATCTCGTGCTGCCGACAGTAAGCGTGAGGACCAGAACGCCCCGGGTGTGTCTCAGCTTCACTGTATGCTGTCCAAGAGAGAGCAGTTTGTAACAGAGGCCTCAAAGGGGCTGATTCACTGAAGGTAATTCAGGCCAAATAACATTGTCATATATTCACTAAATTCTAGTGTTGTAGAACTCGAGACCATTCTTGGTCTCAAAACCTTTTTTACTCTGCCTTGTACTAATGCCCAGTACACATTGTACGACGAATTCAAGACGAAATATAACCAATCGTGGTGATTTCTGTGGCCGTGGCTCCTAAACAGTGAGAGAGTTTTAAAGACTGTCTTGCAACCAAAGATAGCCTGCAATAACAGTTTCAGAAAGTCACTACGATCCTCTTACAGTGTGTTTGCTGCTACGACCTACGTCTACTGACCAGCCAATAAAAATGCAACATGAAATTGCATATTGATCAATGCAACATGATGCTAAAACTTAAAACTAGCTCCATTTACAAGATTGGCATGCCAAGTTGGCCTCTTTTCCGTAGCCATGACCGCGTCAATATTCTCCTCTTTCGCTTCCTCCTCTTTTGGTGAGTGCACATAAAAATTGGTAAAGTGCGATTCATCTTGCTCTATTTGTTTACCACTAGTGCATGCTGGTGATGTTTTATTCTTCTATACTAACTCGCGTCGCAGCCTATGATTCAATCGTTGTCATCCACGTACAGTCTACATACACTGTAAGAAAAGATACACCATATCTACTCAATAAAAATGAGGCAACAGATTACAAGCAATATTATTAATTAAATTTCACAAGGTTTGGTATTGAGTAAATATTAATTAAACGAGACTCTTAATAGTTATCCATTTAAAATGAGTAGATTCGAATAGAAAACATAACAGAATTAATTAAAACCTAAACAAAAATATTGAGTTGATTTGAAAAAGACCTTTAATGTGTAAATAGTGCTAATAAAAATTAATTTAATTCTACATAACAATGATACATAATTGAGTAATAATAATCAACATTAATCCGCACATTGATTTGATTTTAATCAATGCAATTAATTAAATCTAAATATTCCTTTCCTAGGAATAATGGCACAGAAAGTACAGAACTTAACAAATACTCAAATAATAATTTTATTAACAATTCACTTTTGTGCTTTCAACACATTGTAGCACATCATTGTACACTGCAGCCACAGTCTCATTTCAAGACAGAAGTAGGATCTTGCATTTCAAACCAGACATTTAAAAAGGAAAGAATGCTGACTTCAAACTATTTAGTAAAAACAAAAATAAATGCCATACATGTGTCCATAAACCTGTTTCCATGCTTTTTCACCTCACTTAGCCACTAAATTGGGTCAATAAAGATTTTAAAATAAAAATACTCCATAAATACTCCATAAACCTTAAAGGTCCTGTTCTTCATGTTTTTTATTGTGTTTACAGTGTGTAATATAACATGTGTTCATGTTTCGCGTGTAAAAAAACACTGTATTTTTCACGCAATTTACTTATCTGCTGTTATCACTGTCCAAAAAACGGCCCGATGACTTCCTTGTTCTATGAAGTCTCTCCTTCCGAAATACATAACGAGTTCTGATTGTGCCAGCGAACCGCTGTGTTACCATAAATTGGAGATGCATGCGCATTTGAAGTGCTTCTTCTCCGTGGGAGCGCAACAAGACCACACCCCCTATTTTTGTGTATTCCTAGTTACGTCATTAAAAAAGGAAGTAGAGGGATGTAGTCCAAACCGGGCGTTCGCTGTATGCTTTGAAAGGGGACTTCTGTTAAATAAAATATCTCGCTAGGCATTGAACTTTGAGCTTTAAAATTTTACAGGTATTATTTATGCTCTAACAGCAACATTACACACTAACTAAAGTTTGAAAAATGGAATCGCGAAGAACGGGACCTTTAAAGTGCAATTTGTACAGAGTAAAATACATTTGTACTTTGAACTTACAACAATTGAAATGTCATGACATTCGTGGGACAAATCAGTGCTAACTTACAAACACAGCACTTTCAAATGTGCAAATCTGAAGTAAGTAAGACATTGTGTAGCACAAAAGTCTGCACTGCAATACAGTCTCATTTCAAGCCTGAAGTTTGCTCTTAAGGGATTGGACTTTGTTGATCCAGATCCAAGACACGTTTTTGGAATACCTCAAAGGTGTACAAAGGTGATAATCGAGATTCAGCGCGTAGGTCAAGCCAAGGAGGACAGAGCAAGGCCCTTGCAATATTTCCAAGTCCTGTGATGACGATTCCAATGTTCTTTGGGTAGTTGCTTGTAGAAGCTCCAGGCTTTGGGGTCAGAGTAATGGCCATTATGACCTGTTCCTCCAAGTTCTCAGTGTCCTGCAACATGAAATGTCATGAAATGTAGTGTCTTAGTATAAAACTGTCAGAAGTATATTGCAAGCATATAGCAGAACTAGACAATACATTCATTATTGTTTTCATAGCTTATAAATCTATTTTATTACATTTTATTTTCGCCTTGGTCTCAAATTGTTCGTTGTTTTCTTCTCTATTTTGATGTTTTTTCTCTATTTTTTATGTTTGTTGTAGTCTACAAATGTTCTTCCATTGTAATGAGGGATTTATGGTGTTCTACTATTATATCCCTCTCTATGTACAGTATCTTCATCTCTCTAATTGAGTTCAGAGATTTAGAGAATATATGACAAGGAGCACAGAAGCTGTTAAATAAGAAAAAAGATACTACAAAAAACAAAGGCCACAGATCTAGATAAAGCACCTACTTGAGGAATTAAGGAATTATTGTCCTTGAATTAAGGTAATGCAAATTATATATAGCCTATATATATATATTATCACTGAATGTTTCTGTAATTTAGAATTATAAACGAAACTATTTTCTTTAGCGGAATCAATACAATATACAAACCCTTCAGGCTGATTCAAGATCCCTCCGCTTCGCGCCGCGGCGCCGGGGTCCTGATCAGCCTGAAGAGGTTGTATTCGCTATAACAATCGCCTGGCCCTACATTTTCCCGCTTATTACATGGCTACCTACCAAATAAATAAATAATTTGACACAATATATTGATTTAAAAAGGAGTTTCCTTTATAAATCCATCAAAGTTCCCAAAAGCGTTGCCATGGATTCTAACCGTAGACAGAACGGACTATTTTCTTTAGCGGAAGCAATACAATCGTTTTTAAACCAATAGCTGGGTTTCAGTCACGTGATTATGATGACGCGCGAAATTCAGATGGAGGGCAGGGAGTGAAGAGCGCAATGGACGAGATGGAGGAAAGTCCGTACTGTACTACTTTACACGCTATTACAAGAGAAAGATATAAACAAAAAATCAAACCTATGTTGAACGTGATCCTTACGTTATGAAGAGGAGCGATTTTTCAACTGAATTGAAAGATTTTCGTGCCATCGAGCCGGTAGATATCAGCAACTACCTCGTCTTACAGACATACTTTGACTTTACAAAGTTCGGAAACGTTACACGTTACACAAACATAGCCACTTAAGTTGTATTAACTCACCTTTGACGAAGTGATCACTGCACACACGGGCATTTTCCCATTCGGCTCCTCCCGACCGCAGACGTAGGTTTGCAAGCCGTTTTCCCAGAGTTTTTCGGTCAATTTCTTGCATTTCCCCCCTTATGAACAACAACTTTTGGTACACGATAAAAACTCCTCGTGGTTTGATCGATTTAAGTAACCATAAACGACGCAAAACATAGGCATTTTGAGTTTGTTATAGAGCTTTCTAAATACAGCAAATCACTTCCTGCCCTCCATTTGCATTTCGCGCCATGGCAACGCAGTGGCGTGACGTCATATGAAAACAAGCTATAAACTCCTTTATCAGTAAATCGTGTCAAATTATTTATTTATTTGGTAGGTAGCCATGTAATAAGCGGGATAATATAGAGCGAGGCGGTTGTTATAGCGAATACAACCCCTTCATCTCCGCTTCGCGTCGGGGTCATAATCAGCCTGTCAGGTTTTCTATTTGCTATAACAACGCCTCGCTCTACATTATCCCTTACATATAACCACTACATGCGTTCTTTTTACTAGTCCAGTGAAAACAAAATAAGTTTTCTTACCTTAGTCAACCAGTTGTAAGATGAGCAATGTGGAAGACGACGAACATTCACTGTCTGTAGGCAGCTTAACGTACTCTCTTCAAATTCTAGCCTGCTGCATTTAAAAAAGGCCACTTTGACAGGAAGTGCTTTTGAATTTAAATTTGCCTGATTACATTAATTTGAATTCACTCAATATTCTCTCCATTTGGAATTAAATTAATAAAATGCTTAAGTTTTATTTAACTACAATGGGTGGTTTTTATTCCAAACATTTTTATTTGAAATTTAATTAAATATTTGCCTCAAAATCAAAAACACAATTATATTGAATACATTTTAACCAAAAACATTAATTCAAATCTACATGACCCCAGATTCATTTCTTACAGTGTACATGTCGTACCCAAATTTATTAGATCCATGTCGTACAGTGTGATTTGTAATGATCTTATAGGATTCCCGAAATCGCAGTCTGTAGCAAGCATTAGAGGACTTGGGATTTTATTTCACTACTGCAGGGTTATTATTAAATTGCCGGAGCATTGTCTGATTTATGTTAACATCATTTATGTGTTTGGATGTGAAATTTTCTGCTTCAAGTGCAATCAATAATTTGATTTCTTTTGTTACTGTTGTGGCGGGTCAGAAATCAACGAGTGATTGTGTCAAAAATGTCACCAAATTTAATACCCAAATGCCCACAAAATTCAAGATATGATTGCAAAAAAGTACTTGTATGTGATCTTAATTTTTATATTATAACGTATGCTTAAGCTATATTAAGAGCAAGAGAGTTGTTTTCACAAATGAGCATGATTGCAAATGTGATATTGATTTTATACAAATGATCAGAACAAGTTTTATTTTTTAAACATTAATCTCAACATTATTTATGCAGTTTATTTTGTACCAATTCAGATACAACTTCTGTGCCACCTCAATGCAAATAATTTGTTGTTAGTGATTACATTTGATTGGTAACAGCTCTGTATAGTGTCTTAATTCTTATTGTATTAATTGATTAAATATAGCCATTTCTCAGGCAGTAAATGTGGATGTTTTAGATGAATTTAAGAAGTGCTGCTCTGGTCTTGGTCTTTACTCGGTCTCACCCTGCCTTTGTCCATGGTCTTGTCTTGGTCTCAATGTGTTTTTTCGGGTGCCATAATCATTTGTCATGAAAATTGCATTCATCATAGGTTTTCATTACTGTAAAGCATATTTAAGTATTTATGCACCACTGTAGTGTTTGGTTTAAAAATACATTATTTCAAAAATATATATATTTTATGTAATTAAAAAAATATACTGTATTAAAGTAATCAGAAACACCATTGAGAATAATGGGAAATACACAAAAGATCTAATTTAAATGTCCAGACGAGAATTTGGGGGTAAATGGGCTTAAAATAATTAAAAAATATTTTATTATATTATGTACACAAAATACATGCATACAAGTTAGGGTTTGTTAAGATTGTTTTTAAAGCCTGCATTTATTAGATCAAAAATATAGTAAAAAGCTTACAGTTACAGTTTAAAGTAACTGTTTTCTGTTTAATGTATTTGAATATGTTTGAAAATGTAATTTATTCTTATGGCACAGCTGAATTTTCAACATCATTACACCAGTCTTCAGTGTCACATGATCCTTCAGAAATCATGATGATTTGCTGCTCAAGAAACATATCTGATTATTATCGATGTTGAAAACAGTCGCGCTGCTTTATTTTTGCGTTTATTTGAAATAGAAGTCTTTAATTACTGCCACCCATTTTTGATCATTTAAATATATCCTTGTTGAATAAAGTATTATTTTCTTTTAAAAAGTCATACTTAACCAAAACAAAACTATTTGTTGGAAGCTTTACTTTTCCTTATTTTGGTTCAGGCCTACACGTGGCGACTCTTTCTCACACAAACTCTTTCTTTCTTCATTTAATCTTTTCCCCAAAGAAAATGACAGGAAAGCCCCTGAGAAGCACAGACAGGCCCTCCTCATCTGTAAGCCATGTGCATGTGCATTAGAGTTGTGCGTAATAAGCCCTCAGAGGGATCTAATGGATTATGGGCCAAACACATGAAGACCTGTACAAAGAGCAGGGCCAGAAAGACCAGCATTGTGTAGTGACATTAGCCTTGTCTAATGAAGGTTCTGGTGAATAAAGGAGAGTTGAGGAGTAAATAATGTATTGGTGTTGTTTAGGGGGGATTTCTCTCATTATATGAAAACACACGAGCCGTGGAGAATGTATTTAATGGGGATACATGACATCATTTCCCCTGAGGAAGGAGAAAGGATGTCATAAACTCATGTGATTAGTTCAAAAGACACACTTAAAAAAATAACATAGTATGTTTTACTTTTTGCACCAAATGTGGGACAGGTGGAAAATTCTTCTAAAAGATCGGCTGATTTGTACCAATGCAGATTTGGGGCCGTTCACACATTTAAAAAAAAAATAGTTTCAAAGTAAATCCTACACACATTTTTTTTTTTTCACTGTGGTCAATCTGCATGGGTAGTTAAGGTAAAATAGTTAAGAAGTCCGGAAAGGACACCACCATCCAAAAGTAACAGCTAAAGTACGCTCAGACTGCAGGTAAATGTGGCCCAAATCCAATTATTTTGCTCATATGTGACTCAGATCTGTTTTTCCCATGACAGTGTGAACAGCACAAACCATGAATCTGATCTTTTCAATTCTGATTTGGGCCACTTCCATAAGTGGTCCTAAATCTGATACAGGTCAGATGTTTTGCAATGCAACATCTGTCTGAACAGTCATATCGGAATCCATGCGACTTTTACGTCCCTCTAGAGCAACATTCGCCACAATTCTGCGCACATGGAAGTCACTTCAAAGATTTAAAGCTGCCGTCGGCAATTTTTTTTTGATCATATTCAGTGAAATTGACACT